GGCTTCGTGCTTGTCAATGAGCGTATTATTCAATGTTGAATATGCGGACAATTTGTGTTCTCCTCTGATGGGGCTTTTCAAGCTTAATATCTTCACTTCCCTGAAGTCAAGATGCATAGAGGACTATAGCAAATGTCGTGCCCGCGGTATTGTTCTCATGGAATAACACATCATTGGCTACTGTACCAGGTTTCGTACTTGCTATGGGAAAGGCTTCGTGCTTGTCAATGAGCGTATTATTCAATGTTGAATATGCGGACAATTTGTGTTCTCCTCTGATGGGGCTTTCAAGCTTAATATTTTCACTTCCCTGAAGTCAAGATGCATAGAGGACTATAGCAAAATGTCGTGTTAAACCATGTTTTCATTAACTTAGTCAAAGGTTTTTTGGCCGTACTCACACCCTCTTTTTTTACAGGATGAGAAGAAATCGCCCCAGATTTTTAATTTCTGGTCTCTTGAGTTAGAAAAATTAAATTATGAAAACGCCATAGGTGTTGAACAAAAAAGGTTGGAATTTCTAAAGGTATGTGAATTTAAATTTTATTAATTTTCAAAAGTAAAATATAAAATTTCATTTCTTGTTTAACTTAGACACGTGGTACGATACAAGCCTATGAAATTGGAAACAACTACCTTTCACGTACCTCATCTGTAGTTGAAAACATAAATGTTAATAATTTATCTGGCGAAAACGCGTTTTTGGTAAACCAGAATGTGGCCTCATCATCAAAAACAACAACAATCACATCCACATCCACTCTCACCGCTAGTGACAACAATAATGGTGAATCGGAGATCTCAAACCCATCAATTTTAGGCAAGCGCGTGCGTGGAGATAAATCTGTCGAAATGGATGAAATAATTGTCGATTATACCAAGCATCAATTGTTAAAAGAATATTGCACTTTACTTTCTAAATTACAGTATCATCCAGTTGAAGAAGAATCACAACGTGCTCGTCACATTATTAACATGTTAAGATGGCATATAGTTGACCAAGAAATGTTTAATAGCATAGGTTGGACCAAAATCCCACAGCGACACTTTGTTTCAAAACCAAGTTTTGGTTTAAGGCTCGTTTCTAATGTATTGAAACAGCACTCAAACAATCAGCTTCATCTGGCGGAACAATCACTTCAAAATTTGATTATGAATAAAAGAATCAAAGACAGTGATCATAACTGGATGTCGACGCCTATCACATCAATTATGCAATTTTTTTCTCAGAAATTAGATGATAAATATTTCGATATAGATGCTCTGACAGTCGTATCCGTTGTTTCTAGCATAATCTTATATACACCAACACCATGCCGCGGTCTTGGGAGTTCCCCCTCTGAAAATCACATTAAGGCAGAATTATGGACAAAAATATTCTCTAATGTTTTCACGCTTAATAAAACGAAATTTGTTCCTGTTTGGGAACTGCACCATTTAATTTCTGGAAATGGTGGTAGAGGTTCAGCCCGATCAGATTTTGGTGCTATAGTCACGAATCACAACGATTTGCAATTTCTTTTCTTCATAGTCGAGTTTGAAAGAGGAGGCTTTGAGATTCATAAAGATAACGTAGTAGTTGTTTCAGAGGCGGTGTACGAATTTAATCGTATATTAACTTTAGCAAATAATTTATCGGAAGAAGAAGTTAACAGAACTCGTATCCATATAGGTTTGGTGAATGATACTCGAATAAGTTTCAGTACAATTACGCCCATCTTTAATCAAGAAGAATCAACATTTGTTTATATTAATAATGACAAAATACTATCATATGATTTAATAACTAATGATATGGAGAAAAACATCGAAAATATTTTACAACTAGTTATTTACTTGAGAGAAACCATTTGTGAAGATGGGCTGTAGATCGAAACAATATTGAACAGGGAACCAAGAAGATGCAATTATAAATTAAAAACATTATTACCAAACTACCAAATGAAGCTTCCAAATCAAGAACTTCCGAGACTAAATTTACGCCACCCTCAAAAAGGAAGCGATATGTCTTTTCAGATACATTGCAATACACTTAATACTAATACATTTGAAAATTTTTATTCATGCTATTATGGCTCCAAAAATCGTCAATATCTTTTGAAATAAGTAAATAAGTAATAATTAGTTTAGTGCTTCAAGGCACTTTATATATTTGTACACTAAACTAATACAACTAAGAAATTTCATGATGTATTACATTGATCGCCTATTACATGAGCCGATTAACTAGTAATAATTTGTGTTCCATAAATATACATATCGGGTTTGTGAAGTATAAATTATGTAAGACAATTTTAGTACCTTGTCTCTTAAATATTTTTACATGATTTGTATTCGGGAAAAATGATACCAAAGCAAAAAAATGTATTATAAGTTGTTATCCGCAATCTAGATATGTATTATAATTATTATTATAGATCGAAAAATTTGGAAGCTTGATTAACGAAACTTTTAATTTTTTGTATTCTTTCAGGGATAACTATTTCTGGTTTTTCATCATACCATACCTCGAGAAGAAAAATTCCGTTATCTTGACACATGCATCTTTTTAGACGATCACGATTAACAATATCTTCGAGTTTTTTAACATCCTTATACCAGCCAGTGTTGTGGAATCGGTGCTGGCTTCCTTGCACCTCCAATCCGATTCGATGATGGCGGAAGAAAGCATCAAGTTCTAACCCATTCAAGAAAGGAGGCCGATACTCAATTATCGGTCCCTCATTAAGAATTTCCATAGCCATCTGAATACATTTATTCTGGAATTTACGATTTTTCTTAGATATCAGCTTCAGTTCCAATTTCGTAATTCTAACTCTACGATCATTATCTGCATCTTCCAGCTTTTTAATTCTGGCTAAAAGATCATCATCTGCATCTTCAAGTTTAGAAATTCTTTCACTTGACAAATCAATTCTGGATTGTGCATCCGTCATTGTTTTATACAGGATACAGGTATGTTCAAAATTCCATTTATTAGCATAGAAAAAACATGATCAGATACACTAGCAATCATCAGAAAAAAAATAATTCACAAAATATACACGCAAAAATAAACACAATTTTTATATGATAAATCAGCCACCAGAGCCAGATTTATGAAGTTAAAAATCTATATCGGGTATGTAATACATCGAAGTTAAATCTACAAACATCGTTTAGTAAAGATGCTAATTTTCCGATATGCGTGTCTGTCTCCAGCAAAGTTTAACATCATGTAATTTATTATGTAGTCATGTAACACTCACGAAAAAATAACACATGATACTTTATACGTTCCTCTAACCAAAAATCTTTATTAATAAAATATATATATACGATAAAAATACAGGATAAAATATATTATATACAAAGAAAAATCTATTGATAATCGTGTTCCGGTGTAGTGACGGTGGGACTTGGGAAAGTATTTCGGGGTGGGTGTGAAACAGCTTGCTCCATTGCTTGTTTAAGCAAATTCTTATTCACAATTATAATATTTCTCAAGGTTAGTAGCAA